ATAGGGCACTTACCATATTTAACAATTTCACTGCAGAATTTGGTTTACAAGGCGACCTTTCTATACAAACCATGGTGGCTTTTGCCTCTTTCTGCCACTTATATCTTAAACTTTCCCACAACACCATAAAACTTTACCTCACCGGGGTGCAGCACTATAGCCTCACACATTTTCCTAACAACACCCCCTTCTTGTCATCATATCCCATTAAAAAGGTATTGAAAGGTATGTTAAAGGTTTCAGCTCCTCTCACTATCACAAGACAGGGCTGCCATCAGAAATGTTGGGGCCCCTGACACAGCTCAAGGTCTGGGCCCCCCGGTGCCTGCACCCAAGTCCGCCCAAAGTGCTGCCCCCCAAATCCAGCCCACGAGGGGATCTCTCGCGGTGTCTGCAGGGCGGTGCAGGGTTTTTGCGCCCTAGGCAAAGTAAGTTGCCGCCCCCCCATGTGACATCCTGATGCCCCACCATATGATCGCCGTGTTAACTAACACCAGTGCTGCGTGCAGCGTGTTTACATTAAAGGCAAAGACGCCTGCGAGGGACAAACTGAACATCAAAGAACCCACTGTGCGCTGCAGTGGTTCTGGGACTCGTATACGCCCCGTACCGGTGATTAGAGATTAGTACGAATAATATACTAAGATTGCCTGCCATGCAACCAGATGGGGATGATGGTGGCTCTGGCTGCCGTCTGGCTCCACTGGTCTGGTGTACAACAGGCTCTCTGGAGGCGGTTTGTAACTGTGGTCACAAAAATCACTGTTCTGGGAGAACGGGAAGCAGCTCCATTTTTTTGAGGGCCCTTTACAAAGCTCAAGGTCTGGGTCCCAGGGTCCACCTTCATGTTCCACCAATGAGTTTGTTCACAGGGAGTGGAGTGTGTGTGTGGATGTCCTGATGTTTGTAAGGAATGCATTGTGTGAATCTGTGTTTGTATGTGTAAGGGCTGCAAGATGAGTTTGTGTATGCATGGGATGCAGTGTGTGTGTCTGTAAGGGATGCATTGAGTGTGTGTAAGGGGTGCATTGTGTGTTGCTGTGTGTAAGGGATGCATTGCTTGTGTACGTGTGTCTGTGTGTAATGCATTGTGTGTTTTTCTGTGTGCAAGGGGTGCATTGTGTGTGATGAATGTCAGTCTCTCCCCCTCCCCCCCTCTCCCTCCAATTTCCTTCTTCTCCCCCTCCCTCTCCAATTTCCTTCCTCTCCCCTCCAATTTCCTTCCTCTCCCCCGTCACTCAAATTTCCTTCCTCTCCCCGTCACTCAAATTTCCTTCCTCTCCCCCCGTCCCTCAAATTTTCCTCTCCACCGTCCCTCAAATTTCCTTCCTCTCCCCGTCCTCAAATTTCCTTCCTCTCTCCCTTCTTCAAATTTCCTTCCTCTCCCCCTCCCTCCCTCAAATTTCCTTCCTCTCCCCTCTCCCTCAAATTCCCTTCCTCTCCCCCCTCCCACAAATGTCCTTCCTCTACCCCCTCCCCCTCAAATTTCATTCCTACCCCCCTCATATTTCATTCCTCCCCCCTCTCCCATTTCATTCCTCCCCCCCCTCTCCCATTTCATTTCCTCACCCCCTCCCATTTCATTCTTTCTCTCCTCCCTCAAATTTCCTTCCTCTCCCCTCCCCTCGAATTTCATTCCTTCCCCCTCATTTCATTCCTCCACCCCCACTCCCATTTATTCTCTCCCCTCCTTCCCATTTCATTTCCCTCCCTGTCCATTTTATTCTCTCCCCCCTCCTTCCCATTTCATTCCTCCTCCCCCTCCCATTTCATTCCTCCACCCCTCCTCCCATTTTATTCTCTCCCCCCGACACCCAGAGGCAGAGCCCTGAGGAGCACTCTCTGTGTGCTTCCTCTTCAGCTCCCTCGCGCGCCGCGTACTAATGCCGGAGCCGGAAGCTGACGTCATCTTCCGGCTCCGGCATCAGTACGGTGCGTGAGGGAGCTGAAGAGGAAGCACACAGAGAGTGCTCCCTCGCGCACCCGCCCGCCTCGTGTCTGCAGGGCCAGCCTCTGGGAGCCCCCCAGGAGAAGAGGCTGGCCCTGTGGGTACATACCGGGTCGCAGGACCCCCTGCGACCCGGTATGTACCCACTGAATGTGGGGCCCGGACGACCTGAGCAGTCCGGGCCCCCCAGGCCCATGACAACCATTGCGGTCGTCATGCCCTGATGGCGGCCCTGTCACAAGACTACCTATAGATGGGCCTATCTTCAGATCACTTAGCATTCTCCTTGACGAATCCCCGTTTGATCCCGACACAAACCTGGTGATCAAAGCGGCTATCTATCCTGCTTTCTACGGTTTTCTCAGACCTAGAGAGTTCACCGTTGTTCGTCAAGGGGATATCACTCACAGCCTAAAAACATCGCACCTCACAAAGGTGGAGGATCACTATCTACTTTCGATCCCGACAACTAAAATCAACCATTCGCTACACCCAACTGTGATTCCTCACTTCCCTACTGATAATGCATGGTGTCCGGTCAAGGCGCTAAACCACCTACGGTCAACCCTTCACGTGCACTTACCAGACTCTCCGCTCTTATCAATACAAGGGCACCCGCTTACCACTGCTAAATTCACGTCTCACGTCAGAACACTATTATCTAAACTGGGTTTCAATCCGACTTCATTCTCCGGGCAGTCCTTTCGCATAGGAGCCGCCTATTCAGCCTCCAGCACTAATACACCGGTCCACATCATCAAGAGACTGGGGCGATGGAAATCCTCCAAATACCATACTTATATTCCACGACCAGAAAAAGAGCTTCGTCAAGCTTTCAGGAACTTGGTTATGTAAAAAGGCAATAAAGTGTGTATTTTCTCGAACTTCTCTTTTGCCCTCTTTTATTTACAGGCCCACTCGTACGTTGGTTTCAGCACACCACAACCAACTTTGTCCTTACAGATACTGTCCATTACGTATTAAATTCCGAGCACAAGTAGAAAAGCCATTAGGCCTGAATTTGTGGGAGGAGTAAGTCCCCTATTTAAACTCCCAGCATATATATATATATATATATATATATATATACATATATACATACATACATACATACACACACACATATGTATATATATATATTTGTGTTCGGGGCATTCTCATATGATATGGAATACTCTGGTGGAGAGAAATACAGTAAAAGGAAATAGTCGGTTGAGGTGTGCCGAAACCGATGTATGCTGTAGGCCGGTAAATAAAGTGGGCCCACATAAAGGAAAAGTATAACTAAAGGGAGTGGAGGGTGGGGCTGTTCGTCTAGACCAACGAAGGTAAGTGAGGGAAAGGGGGGAGTCCCTTAAGTAGGTCTATAGCCCCTCCCACAACTTCAGGCCATGCCTTCCAATTTGTGTTCGGGGCATTCTCATATGATATGGAATACTCTGGTGGAGAGAAATACAATAAAAGGAAATAGTCGGTTGAGGTGTGCCGAAACCGATGTATGCTGTAGGCCGGTAAATAAAGTGGGCAAAAAGAGAAAAGCAAGTTAATCATTTTATTCAGTAAACATAAGTACATATTATTAAGTTGACATCTTAATAAACGCCCTCCTAATCTCTTGGACTGGGTGCGGGATGTAGGTGGCGTAAGCTGAGGACTTCCAGCGACCCAGTGTTTTAATAACGTGAGCTGGTATGTCTTGGCTAGAGGCTGTGGAGGCGGCTCCAATTCTGAAGGAGTGCCCCGAGTAGCTACCAGGGTTTAGACCAAGTCTGGTGATAAGCATCTGGTTGTAAAGCATGAATTTTGCCGTGGTGAGAATGGTATCGTGTAACAACAGTAGGGGTCTTGAGGGGTGTGCAGGTTTAGTGGCTAAGAAAGCGTCCAGCGCTTTTACCTGGCACCAATTGTTACCAGTGGGGTAGTAGTTTATGTGAACTTGTTCCCCCATCTGACTTGTCTTAGGAAGGGTCAGGACGTAGTAGTCTGTGTGTTTCGTGAGATATGATACGAGGAGGCACACTTGGTAATGTTGTTGGCCACTAATGGTGAAACTCTCGTGGCCTAAGAAAACCATAAAAAGCTAGATACATGGCGGCTTTAATAACCGCGTTTGTATCGGGTTCAAAAGGTGCCTGGTCGAGTAGGTTGGACAATGACTTGAACATACCCATGTCAATTTAAGTTTAAGGTGGCAAAAAGATGAAAAAGCCATTAGTGACGAAACTTCAAACCAGTTGGTTAGGTGATGGTCAGACATGAATCTTTTGTATAGGTGAAAAGCTCTGTGATATGCGTTTTGAGTGCTAGAGGATAATGCTAATTTTGTGAGAGTGTGGCTGTGCTGAAGTAGTTCATCTATTCCATGACAAGGTCTTGGAAGGTTGGAGCTGGGGTTGCCATATGAGCTGCCGAGTGTAGGGACCGTCTGAAAGCCTGAAATTGAGATCGAGATAGCTGGTCAGCTGCCGTATTGTATATGCCGGGAACATGAGAGCATACAATGTGGAAGTGATGGGTAGCTGCCACCCATGTCAGTTTCCTAAGGAAGTTCATAATTGTCAAGGAGGAAGAGCGACCTTTGTTGATAATGTGGCATATTGCCAGGTTATCAGAGAAACAGCGTACAGACTGACCTTCCCATAACCTACACCAAGTGACAGCTGCAGCAACTATTGGGTATACCTCAAAGAGGGCTGAGTTAGTGTAAAACCCCTCGATGCCCTGTGTATCTATTGGCCAAGTCCCCCAGAGCCAGTCTGTGCCGAAAATGGCCGCATATCCCGTGGATGATGCTGCGTCTGTCCAAATGACAGGTGACCGAGAATCCAAATGTGGAAGGAACATGCTCCTACCGTTCCAGTCCGAGAGAAATTTGTACCACATATGGAGGTCAGCAGTCGCAGGGCAGTCCAAGGATATGCGGGCATAGTCGTTGGTGAAGGTGGGGAACAGGGCGAGGAGCTTGGAAATGAAAGCCCTGCCCTGGGGGATTATGCGCATAGCGAAATTTAAAGAACCCAAAAGTGATTGTAGTTCTTTACGGTTGCAAGACCCCCTGTGCATGTAGTGGCTAATGTCGTGAAGGATGTTATCAATCTTTGTTCTAGGTAGGCTGGCCATCATTGTTGCTGAATCCAGTAGAATACCTAGAAAATTGATGACTGTGTCTGGCCCTTCCGTTTTGGTGGGAGATATGGGGACACCGAGTGCGGTGAATAGTTTGACAGCTTTGTCTAGGCTACACGGGGGGTAGGTATTGGCTTCGATGAACAGAAAATCATCTAGGTAGTGTATCACATTTTGGCACCTGCAGGTATTAAGGAGGAGCCAACACAAAGCTTCTGCGAACGTGTCGAAAATCCTTGGACTACTCTTGGCCCCAAAAGTGAGTTTTGTGAAAAAATAGTAGGCGTCTTGCCACTTAACTCCATGCAGGTGCCATAAAGAGGGGTGTATAGGTAACAATTTAAAAGCATTGACTATATCCGTCTTGCTAAGCCAGGCCCCCACCCCTGCCGACCTGATAGCTGTAACAGCGTGGTCAATAGTGGAGTATTGTAGGGAAAACTCTTCCGAAGGAATCAATGAGTTTAGGCTGGGGATGGCTGAAGAGTAGGGTGCGGATAGGTCAATGATGAGCCTTAGTTTATCAGAATCTTTGCTGGAAACCAGCCCGATAGGGTTAGTTCTCCAGCTGGAAAAGGGGGGGGTTACCAAAAGGCCTGATGATAAATCCCTGGTCCACTTCCAGTTGTAGCAAGGTAGTGACTGTTGTAGGGTTATTTGTGGCTGATTGCAAATTGTGACACTCTAAAACCCCTGTTGGCATGTGAATGAGCCCTGTGTGAAAACCCTGGGTGAGACCTGTGCATAAAAGTTCCACCAAGTGTTTGGAGAAGTGAGTGGACAGCATATGTTCAAGTACAGGAACGTTCACTGGAGACAAATAAGGTTTCTGGAACATTTTATTTGGGCACATAGATTTCGCATGTGCCCGAAAACAGTGTGAGCAGTCGTGCAATAAGCGGCAAGTGCTGTAACCACAGGAGCCCTCATTGAAATTATTGCAAATTTGTGATTTGCCTAGGTACACTACCGGACGGACCCAATTTGTCTCTGGTCTGTTTCTCGGTTTTAAGGGGATGCTGTAATGATGTGCAGGGAGCGCTGTCCGGGCAGAGTAGGCACAAATAAGCTGTGTGAGCGGGTGACGTACATATGGCACAAGCTGGTGTCCTAAGCCCCGCGAAATGTCTGAGGAACAGTTCGTTGTCCAGTTAGCTCCAATCCATCTGGATGTCATACTGGGAAAATGTGGCTGACACTTTTGATGAAAAGGACTTGTGATAGTCATAAAAAGTATAACCGCCATACTTATTCCCCAGGTCCACCAGCTTATGCATATATAAGTCCAGTTCCTCTCTCCTATGGGGATGAACTGAGCACAGAATATCCCTAAAGATACCAAAAGATAGGACAAAATCGGGGATGATCAATTTCTTACTGAGCCTGGGGTCTCTGGCTTTTAAAACAACAGAGATGTCCCCGTAGTCGTAAGAACGGTTTTCAATGACATCCTGGGAGGCAATGAGCAATGAGACTAAGTTAACGTCCTTGCCCTCCAGGATGTCTTTTTTAAGATTAGCCGGAACCACGTGGGCAGGATTGATAACGTGTGCTGCTGCCTTATTAGGTATGGAATTACCCGTTATTGCTGTGGGTATGACCGGGGCTGCTTCAGTGAGAGGCCCAGGAGGCTCTAAGGGGGAGCTGCGTGCTTCCAGCCTTTCCAGTCTGTCGTTGACCTTCCCCATTGAAGAAATTAGGGAGGCAACCATAGCATGGAGAGTCGGGTCTTGAGAGCTACTAGTGCCTTCCCCCGCATCCGTATTAAGGGTGTTGGTTCTAAGCAATTTAAACAGTTCTGCTTTCCTGGCAGTGGCCGGGAAAGGGATACTGTGTTTGCGTAGTTCAGCCGTGATGCGTGGGATAGTCCATGATCTCATGGACGAGGGACTTCCCATGTCGTCTTTGCTTGTCGGGGTAAGTGACCTAGCCGGGATGCTAGGGACTGACAAATCCTCACCATCGTCTGGGAGCAAGGACATACTGAAAGTAATAATAGGCATTTGTTGGTGGCTTGTTGGGAATTAGCCGGTGGCTAGCTAGTGCCAGATGGCGAAAAGATTTATTCTAGGTTTCGTGACCGGTGAGGTCCTGCTAGTGCCAAATGGCTAGAGAGGCTCTATCTATGAGTTGGCGCGAGGGGTGTGGTAACCTGCCCGGTGGTTTAATGTTGCCTCTCCATGGGTAAGATAGGGAGGAGGGGGGGGGGAGGGGAGGGGTTGGTAGTGACAGGTGTCGCCCGCTCTATATAGTTTGCGAGGCGGCTAGCTATGATTTGGCCTGAGGGGCGTGTAGTACCTCGAAGTGGAGGATGGGAGTTGGCCTCGCGGACCGCTAGGATTAAGGGGCAGGGAAAAAGCTAACATGGCCGTGTTGAAAAAGAAAACGTGCAAATCAACATACCTGCAGAAAATTGAGCACTGGTTCTGTGTAAGAGAATTCAGATGTCTCTAGAGTAGGGGGGGGGTGGTTAGCTTAGGTGAACCGTCCGAGGGTATGCGGGTTCCTGGGGGTATGAGAATTTAGATAATGTACTCTCATGTGGAACATATACATAAAATTGACGTAGTAAGAGTTCTGGGGGGGATTGCAGCGAGTATTGTCACCCCCCCATAAATACATAATGCAACCGGTAGGCCATGTACTTTAACTGTAACTGCGGTATAATTATCTTAAGACTTAACGATTGTTATTATACATGCAGAAACTCCTAATATAACTAGCCCGCCGTAAGTAAACATATATCATGTATTATTATGTTTAACAAGCAAAATCATACCCATATGTTTGAACCAGTAATTTAACTTAATTTAACAAGCATCCTAATTAAGCAGTATATGCATAAATAACAGAAGGTTTATTGAAAGGGACTTTCATGTATCTTATACCACTTTAAGCATATATATATATACACATGTTTGGCAAGATGTGTACCCGTACAGTATTAAAAGATAGTGTATTCTATGGGCATGTATGGTAGCAGCTGGCTGAACTAAGGGTCAGCCAGCAGAGGAGCGTATCCCTAATGCAAGGTGGTGGACCGGGGTTTTAACCTTGCACCCAACTATTATTGTCCCCCCCCATGTGTGTTGCCGGCGGGCAGTTAGTATATGTCTACCCCCCCCTTCCCCTTAAGACCTGTTCCCCAGCGGCTGGGAACAGAGACTCCTAAGTGGTAATGGAGTCTCTGTCCTGTAATCCCCATGTGGGAGCCCAGCTTACCGCACCAAAAACGGGTTGGCGAGGAGGAGAGGCCGGTCGGCTGTAAGTCAGCGCGTGACGTCAGAGGAGTGCGCCGCGTCTCACCGGAAGTGACGATACGAACCAGGAAGTCGGGGGTAACGGAAGCCTGCGAGTAACAGGCTGTTCGTCTAGAGCAACGAAGGTAAGTGAGGGAAAGGGGGGAGTCCCTTAAGTAGGTCTATAGCCCCTCCCACAACTTCAGGCCATGCCTTCCAATATATAAATATTATTGGCATATTTATTTTTCAAATTCAAAATATTAGTCCTTTTAGGGTAATTAAATTATACAGTAAAGCATACTCACATACAGACACAGACAATCTTACTGATGCACACAAATAGGCTCACTGACAGACAATCTCAATGACACACAAAGACAAGGTTACTGGTACACACACAAATTTAGTACAGACAAACTCTGATACACACACACGCTCACTACAGACAAGCTCAATGATGCGCACACACTCTCCCTACAGACAAGCCCATTGTCACACACATGCTCCCTACAGGAGAGCTCACTAACACACAGATTCACTACAGACAAGCTCACTGAAACACACATGCTTACTACAGACAAGCTCACTGCACACACATGCTCACCACAGACAGGCCCAGACACACCCATGCTCCCTACAGACAAGCTCACTGACACACATACAAGCTCACTTGCAACAGGCACACACACAAACTCACTAGCAGGCACACACACAGAAGCTCCCTCACTAGTAGATGCACACACACACAAGCTCACTCACTAGCAGATGCGTGCGCATACACAACCACACACACACACACAAAAGCTCACTCACTCGCAGATGCACACACACAGAGGCAGACAGCCACACACATACACAGGCAGACAGTCAAACACACAGGCAGACAGCCACACACACAGGCAGACAGTCACACACTCACAGGCAGTCACACACACACACACACAGTCACACACACAGGCAGACAGTCACAAACACACAGACAGTCACACAAACACAGGCAGTCACACACACACACACACACACACACACACACACACAGGCAGACAGTTACACACTCACAGGCAGTCACACACACACAGTCACACAAACAGGCTGACAGTCACACACTCACAGGCAGACAGTCACACACACACAGGCAGTCACACAAACACAGGCAGACAGTCACACACAGACACACACACACACACACACAGTCACACACACAGGCAGACAGTCACACACTCACAGGCATTCACACACACAGTCACACAAACAGGCTGACAGTCACTCACAGGCAGACAGTCAAACACACAGGCAGACAGTCACACACACAGGCTGAGTCACACACTCACAGGCAGTCACACACACACACTGACCTGCTTCTTACCTCCACATCCTTTGGAGCTCTTGGAGACTGGTTGTTAGGGAAGCAAGGACTCTGTCCTGCTTTCCATGCTGCAGTTACCAGGGCCCCCGTCGCACGCTAAGCTCTGCCCCCGCCGTACGCTAAGCTCCGCCCCCGCTACAATAATTTCTTTTTCTTTTCTTTTTTTTATAACTCCGGCCGGCCATGTGCGAGCTGTGCTGGCCACCTGGCTCCCCCTGCTCCCATGAGGCCGCTCACACGTGGCCGGTCAGGATTACAGAAGCTTGATCAGTGAGCATCCCCCAGCTCCAGGTGCCGCGGCCCACAGGAAAATTTCCTGGTATCCCGGTGGGCCAGTCCGGAACCTTGTACAATTTGATTTAAGTGACTAAATTGCAATCAAAGTTGCAATGGTCATATTTACAAAAAACAAAAATTTTACTTTTATCAGAATTATAACATCTCATTCTGACAGAGGTTCATTCATAAGGGCACACTCCATGCCAATGTTTATGTGGAAACAAAGCCACTAAGATTATTATTAT